CTTCTCCCTTGATTGACAAAGAGAAAACCTCCACTTGGGAATCGATAGTAAACACTTTCATTGACAGATATAAGTGTAATATTCAAGTCGAAACCGATTATAGGCAACTGGAGATGCTAAGAAAAAAAGAGAATAAAGGCTTTACTTCTTTCTTCAATAAGTGGAGGGAAACTTCCGTAAGATGATTGAGTTGCCCACCGAAAAAGAATCTGTAACGATGTTTGTACATAATCTCCAAGAGAAGTATTCGAAGCATTTAAAATATCAACATAATTTGAATACTTTCAAAGGAGTTTCGGAATTGAAATCAAAGATGGTCTCGCAAAGAAAAAAGCTACTAACAATAGCAACAACAGTGTCTGGAAGGGAAAGAAGAACGACAATCCTTCTTCTTCCGAAAACGCCCACTCTAGTAACAATGTTAATACCTTTGATCACAACAGTGTCTTAGCTTAAGATAATCAAGGATATATAAAGAAACCCAGGAGATAACTCACACCCTTTGGAATGACCTAAGATGCTACTTTCGACCGTCTCTACGATCGAGGATTAATCTAACCTATTGGCCCTACCGAGGATCCAACGCCAGAAATTCGATCTTCGAAATGGAATCCCAACTCTTATTGCACGTACCATCGAAGAAACGATCATACCACTGATGAATGCTACAGGTTTCAAAATCTCATCCAAGATCTCATAGAAGCCAACAAGATCCCATTACCTCTAGCTAGCGAGAAGATTGGGTGATGATGAAGCAAGCAACACAAGACAAGAGGCGAGCTACAATGACAAGATTTTGTAACCTCTTTTTCTATTTCTTTTTTATTCTTCCTTTCCTCAATAATTTTAGCATAGGCACCTTTTTATTCCCCTTAGATTTACTTTGTAAGACTTTTCTTTCTTTTTTTTTTCCTTTAATAAAAATGAGCATTTATTTCCTTACATATGATCATTGCATTGCATTAAAATAAAAAAAATAAAAAAAATGTTTCAAACTAAGCACGAGGTATACCAATGATTTGAGGCACCCCTTGTAGCCCCATCATATCACCTTTCACCCTTCAAATATACAATCCTTTCTTGATAAACTACTTTGAGCTTCGTCTAACGATAAACCTTTCTTTCTTCAACCCACGTCTACCTAACCTTGGGATAGGATGGTGTGTAACTTATGCAATTTTCAAAGAACAAAATCTTGAGATTAAAATAGCAAAATAGAAATAATAAAGTGTACAATAGGGCAAGTGTTCCAATGTCTTTGACATGAACATGTCTTTGATACGAACACGTCTCAGATTACGTCTCTTATCGAGTGCTTAGTACCGTGCCTGAGAAACATGAATGCCAAGTGAGTAATAAACCGCATGATCAGGATTGCCCACACCTATAATAAAAATAAAAATAAATGATAAAGCAAAAAAAAAGAGAAAAGAGAGCTAAAAAAGAGTAGAAACTCAAGCATAAAAAATATAAGGATTTAAAAAGTAAGGTTGCACACCATGGGGGCTTATCGAGGGTCTTGAGCCTTTATCCCCTTCTTTTATAACCTTTAGCCTAACAACTATACAACCCTTAAAAAGACCTTTTTGAGGTATACGTACACACTTGAGAGAGGTTCGGCTAGAGCTACGTTCGGCATGATTCCTAACGGATACGTAGGTAACCTCACATTGAGGTGCGGCCGTAGTAAACATGCATTCATATTTACATTCACAATTGATCATATCAAGGGATCCCCCGTGCTCATCTTTATTCATTTAGAGCTAGACTTGGGGGCTTGATCCTTACATTATTAGCCTACTCAGCCTAAGAGTCACCACTAATTAACTCTTTTCAATATGTTTTCCCACACACTTAGCCCTTGCGGCATAACTTTAGTGTCACTTTCACAGACATCACAGATACATGACCAAATATAATTCCCCTAGGAACCCTTTTGTTGAAGCTTATAAGTTTTGATGATGATGAAAACTAAAGAAAACTCAACTAAAGGTTTACAAGTGTTTAAGTGCAGGAGAAATGGACCTTGGTGAAGGAAGAACATCTTGTATTATGAAGACTTGAAGAATCTTTAAAAAGTTAATCAATAGAAGAAGAGTTCTCTAACAAGAACTAAATTCCTTAATAGGAATGTTCCCTAACAGGAACTTGAAGGTTGTAAGCTGAAGAAAGTAAGTTCAACAAGGAACTTAGGCTGCGAAGTTCCAGTTGTGAGCTGGAGACTAAGGGACAGCAGGAACTTGTTCTTGGCCTGCGTGAGCCCAAGATATTCAGAATTACAGAAGCGCGGCATTGAGATATTAATTTAGTTAAGATTTTATCTTCTAGATTTATTTTTAAATATGTTAATTAGATATTCATGAAATCTATTAGAGACGTGACAAGATAAATTGGAAAAATATAAAAAGATAGATTTTAAAAAAAAAAAAGATTTTGTTTTAATTTATTTTCCTAAAATAAGTTGCAAAACGATATTATTATTTTATATATATCTTCTTGTATTTTTCGGAAAGGATTTTTCCTCAATAAAATGATTTACCAAAAATCATATTTTGAGATAAGGAAAGTTAACATCTTTATCTTTTGAAAACCTACTTTCTATACCAGTTATACTTGTATAAATAGTGGAGGTAAAACTACTTTCAATTTTTGTAAGTTTATGCGTGAAGAAAATCTTGTGAACTTTATCAAATTGTACGTTTGCCAAGCTTTATCTTGTCATATTAGTTTCGGGTTTTATTCATAGCTTGCCTTACATATTCTTGACAATTTACTTACTGTAATTGATTGGGTAATTGGGTGTGAGTGTATGAGAATTATAATCACATACAGTAGAAATTATTTTGTGATAAAGAGTGCATTTGTACTTTGAGAGTACGAGTGAATTCAAGTCAGGGAATTTGAATTGGGTAGCATTGAGTCTTACCGTGCTACAAGTTCTAGTTGGAACTTGTGTTTCAAGGTCTGGATTATAATAAGTTTGTAATTTCATCATTGCCCTATTATAGTGGATTGTTTTTGTGTTGAAATCCCTTAGAATGGTCGAGGTTTTACTTCCAGTTGGGCCCTGGAGGTTTCTTCGTAAAACTGTGTGTGCACTATCAACTTCCTTTTATATTCTGTTTTAAATTTGCAAAAAATAGCCAGTAGGAACTTAACTACAATTCATCCCCCGCTTGTAGTGTTCGTTTCAACTAACAATTGGTATCAGAGCGAGGTTCTCACGTGTAAGCAAATAATTTTGGTGAGTAAGATCTTGAGGAGAAATGAACTACAAGGAAAAACTTGAAGAAGGGTACTCAACCTAACGTCCACCTATGTTTAACGGTAAGTTTAATACCTACTGGAAGAACAGAATGGAGATTTTCATTAAGGCTGAGAATTACCAAGTTTGGCGTGTTATTGAAGCTGGTGACTATGAGGTAAACGCAACAAATGATAAAAATGAGGTAGTTCCTAAACTTCTTTCGTATTTTGACAAAGAAGACTATCAGAAACTCGAAATGAATGCTTTAGCAATAAAGTATTTACATTGTGGTCTTGGACCTCATGAGCATAATCGTATCATGGGGTGCAAGACTGCTAAACAGATTTGGGATCTACTCGAGGTCACTCATGAAGGAAAAAACGAGGTAAAACGTTCTAAAATTGATTTACTAATCTCTAGATATGAAAGGTTTGAAATGCAGTCCAAAGAAATTATAGAAGAAATATGTACCAGATTTAACGACATAATTAATGAATTAAACTCCCTTGGCAGGCACATTCCCATTGATGAACAGGCTAGAAAGATTTTGAGAAGTCTTTCACTGGATGAACGATGGAGATCCAAAGTTACTACCATGCAGGAAGCTAAGGACTTCACTAAGTTCAATATGGAACAACTAGCTGGATCACTTATGACCCATGAATTGCATCTGAGTTCCAACAACGAAAGTTCCAAAAACAAGAGTCTTGCTCTAAAGGCTCTAGACTCAGAGGAATCTGAAGTTGATGAAGAGGAGATGGCTATGATAGTCAAACGATTCAAAAAGATGATGAATAATAGAAGGTTTGACAGAAACAAGAAGCCCACTGGTTCTAGAGACACTACTTTTTTTCAAATGGGGAGCAAAAGATCACTTAATTAAGGATTGTCCACTCAAGGACGGTAAGAACAAACCTAAGGAGCAGTCCAAGGAATCCAGAGTGTATAAGCCTTACTTCACCAAAGACAATGTGAAGAAAGAAATGCTAGCTGCCTTGAGAGATACTGATACAGAAGAATAAGAAGATCAACCTCCTGAAGAAACAACTCATCTGTGCCTAATGGCAAAAACAGATGAAAAGGCTAAGCTAAAGGAACTTGAAGCCGAGGTTCCAGTGAGGGGGAACAACACTTGGTACCTCGACAGTGGTTGTTCGAAGCACATGACTGTAGACAAATCTAGATTTCTCTCACTGGATGCTTACTATGGAGGAACTGTGACCTTTAGAGACAATATGAAAGGAGATATAATCGCCATTGGCAAAGTAGGAAGGTCAAGTTCCCATGCTATTGATAATGTATTTTTGGTCGAGGGTCTCAAACACAACTTGCTAAGCATTTCACAATTTTGTGACAGAGTAAGTTTTACTTCAAATAAATGTAGAATCATTCACAATGACACTGGAAACATTATTTTAGAAGGAACTCATAAAGAGAACACATATGTTGTTGATCTTAACGAAGTTCCTAATAGCAGTCTAACATGTCTTAGTGTTATTGAAAATGATCCTTTATTATGGCATAAAAGATTTGGTCATGCAAGCTTTACACTACTTGCACTACTACAAAATGCGTATTTTTTCGACGCTGTGGGCACGACACTGTATAAGGGGCGTTAGCTAAGTAAAATATTATCCGTGTTGTCTCGACGCCATTTTAAGTCGGAAATTAATTTCGACAACAAAAAGCGTCGAGAAAACCCTCACATGGGGACACGTGACATACTTTACCTAAACCACATCTTCACATTTGGTTCTCTTGAAAAATAAAACCGCCGCTTCTCAACAAGAAACCCCTACTCTTATAAGTCTTATCATTCTAATCTTGACATCTTCTCTTTTTCTTTTTAAATCCTTCAAAAATGCATAGAAAATCATGGAGTTTGGTCTCAGATTTACTTTTTCCTGGTGTATTACGATGCAGTGTTGTTCTTATTTATCGTCTTTTCAATTTCGTTTCTTGTTCAGATCGATAATTCCGAGGTAATAATTTTTTCCTAATTTCGTTTTAGAATTTAGTATTTTGGATCTTTTTAAGTGTTATGATGTTGAGTAATGTTTTGGTAAGAGATGGATTCGACTCATGAAGAACAATTTTAGGGTTCTTTTTTTTGGAAAGAATTTACATGTTTTTATCCTTTTACAAAATACAATTATGAAATTAATTGTTTTTAATTTTTAATTCATTTAGGATAGGTTGTCGATGATTACCCTCACTTCTCTGCTTCATAATTTATACAATTCTGCATCATAGTTAAATGAAATTATTAATCAAAGGTTTTGTATTTCAACTTTTATAGCAAACCCAAACACTTCTCTGCTTCATAATTTATACAAGTTCGTTGTTTCAATTAGCAATCTTTTTTTTTCCTGTAAATTCAAAATTTCTTTTTCTTTAACTTCTGAATTTTTAGACTTTTTCTCTAAGTTCTAACTTTATAGGATTTAACGAATGTCTTGGGTTGAGTGCTTGATAGTTATTAGAAGTTGGGACACTTGAAATTTGGAATGAAAATTGATGGGTCAAGTTATCAGTCACGCTAACACGCTCCTCCATTCGGTGTTCAATATAGTAGTTCCACCGAAGACAATACTAAAAATATATCCTCTTAGAAGGACGTACGTAGCAAACATAGTAATCTGGAAGGATTTGCCTAATGCATCTGGTGTGGTAATGATTTTCGCTATGTGGTGTAGATTGTAGGTGAAAGTATGGCTATCTCTCATACCATGGTCCTTGGGCCCATGGTCAACTTTTCCCCTGTGGTTATAGTGGCTTTGGGGAGTGCTAGACTGCTGGTCATCATGACTTGGTGGGTTTGAGTAAAATAGAATATACCCAATGGATCAGATCAGGTATGAATTTGTCTTTGCCTACAATTTTTCCACCAATTGCCTTACTAATATTAAAGATTTCCGCCAAGTTTTATGTTTAAAGTCTATTTCATGCTCTCAATATAATATATATCTCAAGCCTAACCTTGTCTATCTCATAAATTTATAGATCTTCGGGGGTCATAAGTTTATTCATCAGGTTTATTATAGATCAGGCTGACCTCTCCATTTGTAGAATCAGAGATTTTTTGTCACTTCAGGTTTTTATTCTTTCAGCTTTCAATTTGCATCAATTTTTCCCCTTCTTTTAGCAGTTTTGATTTTATTTATTGGTTATGAATTACATAGTATTAATTTTTAGTAATACTTCAACGAAAATGAGAGAGGGATCCTTCAAATCAAACTCCCTTTTAAGTTCTCTTTAGTTTGGATTTCAGGACTGGTGAACCCAGAAGAGATTAAGCATGAATTAAACTATGCTATTGGCTTGAGGTTGATCTTCTCTGTACCTCGTTTTTTTTTTTTAACATCTTAATTCCATCATTTTGATAGTTTTTTTTTTTTTTTTTGACAAACTAACTCCAATTTTCCCCAAAAAAACTAAGCTAAACAGAGTGAAGCTATAAGGTTGCAAAAGCAAATACTATAATTCTAATAAAGGGTTTGGTCTAGTTCAACTACTAATGCTTCTGATGGTTAGTTTTATGTATCTTCCATAGTTTAACCCAATTTTTATCTGGGCAATTATATATTTCTTGATTAAAATGTGACAGCATGATGATTAGTTTTGGTTTATATGATATAATATGCTTGCTTACTTTAATTTATATTGTTCTTGATTTTCTTGGAAATAGGGCATCAGGAGTTTTGTTGGTTGTGCTACTTGATTTTTGCAGTAACCTATGAGAGTTTTGCATGACCCTTTACTGGGACCACCATGTATTACCTTAGTTTCACCTCTTTGACATTATAATTGAGGAGAATTTCAGAGTCGCTATTGGGGTTTTAGATTTATTCATTAGTGGTTGATTTTGGGTACTATTGGTAATTAATATGACATTTTCTTGTTCATAATTAATTCCTCCTCTAGCTCTATTCATCTAATATATATAGTGGTAAAATTATTAGCAGTTCTTTTTGTTTCTTGCTTTCTTCCATTCATTAATCATTAGTATCATACTGATATATATTGGCTTTCTTAGTGGGATAATCTTTATCTGATTGTTGATACTCTAATAAAATGCTCTTGCAATTCTGATTGTTGATACTTTTTGTCATTAATCATTAGTATCATTCTGATTGTTGATACTCTAATAAAATGCTCTTGCAATTCTCTTACTATGGAGTCAGGAGAGGACTTGAATATTTTCCTACTTCTAAACCAGGTATCACTGCACATGTTTACTTGGTTTCATTAGTAGTAGTAGTAGTACTAGTACTATATATATATATATATATATAAGTGAATTAAAAGTAAAAGTTGGTTAGATGATAACAGAAGAAGGGGGGTGTGAAGGGATGGGTGAAGCAAATATTAAGAGTGCCTTGTTGGTTAGATAAATTTCAGATCTGAAGTTCAGAACTGAAAATCAAATTTAAAATCAGAGCTGAAATTCAAAATGCTTGTGTGTATATGTGGGAAATTTAAAGCTTGTGTGTGTGTATAAGCGTCGATTATCCTTTTTATTAGCTTTATTGTTGTTTATCTTTACTAATATACTTGTTGAAAATCATTTAAATTGTTTTATCTTATGCTTTGATATTTATCATGGTATAATTATGGTGCTTTATTATACTTGGTTGATACAAAGACTTTTATTAGTTTCTATTGTGGACTAGTTCTTAATATGCTCTGAAATTTGTAGTTTTCTCAGCATGTGTATGTTCTGGTTTAAATACATTGGTCTTTTTATTGTTGTATAAATATAGCATGTTGAATCTTGAGCCTATATTGTGTAATGTACTAATTTATACTTTGTATATTTTTTTTTTGAAGATTGGAAAAGGAAATGTAGGTGCAACAAGATAATAGGCCGGGACACTTGAGCATCAAAACAAGCGACTATATCATCTACAAGGCCATCATCTATCTATTTTGGCTTTTAGGCTTATATTAGAGATGTATTTATTTAGGGACAAGCTACTATGATATGCAACTTTTTTTTTTTTTTTTACTTAATTGTGTTGATGTTTTCTTTTATAAATTTGGTAATTAACTACGTACTCTTATTATTGTTGATTAATTATTGTTTTTTTTTATCTAGTTATATAAAATATTTGTTTATTTTAATTTTAATGTTATTAATTTAATTTTTTATGATAAATTTAAAAAACTATAATGTATGTATGATGGTAATAATTTAATAAAAGGAAAAAAAACTTAAAAAAAAAAAGGAAAAATTGCTCCTATTAACCTGAACTTTGCTTCGTCCGCCGAAAATAATCCCAACTTTCGTTTATTATCTATTGCACCCAACTTTGGGGGGTATTAATTTCTATTGCACCCAAATGACTTGCAACCGATAAATCAGGTAAACATTTCTGATTTTTTTTTGCACACGTGTCAACATGTAATTGGTTGAAAAAAATAGGAAAAAAAAAATTAAAAACATAATTAAAAAAAAACTCCAACAGCCACCCTTAGCTTCTCCAGCACCGCCATCACTAGCACCACAATCACCGGCGCCGACCCCCTCTCCCGCGTATCGTCCCCTCCCTCTCCCGCAAACCACCCTCCCCGAAACCCTCCCTCTCCCGCAACCACCCTCCCCACCCTCTCCCGCAACCACTCTCCCGCAAAACCACCTAAAACCCATCCCCCACCCTCGAAAACCCTAATCGGACCTCCCTGGCCATCGCTAGGGGTTCAGTCAGGGTTTTTCGAGGGTGGGGGATGGGTTTCCGGGGGTGGGCGGTGGAAATTAATTTTCGGGCTAGGTGATTTTCTGGGGTTTTCGTTGGTGGGGGAAGGGAAGGGGTGGGTTTCGAGGGAAGGGGAGGGGTTTCCGGGGGTGGGCGGTGGTTTTCGGCACCAGGGGAGGGTTTTTTCGGGGGTGGGGGTGGGGGAGTGGTGGCTGCCGCTGGGTATGGGTGGGTTTGTGGGGTTATTATTATTATTTTTTTTGTTTTTCTGTTTTTTTTAAAAAAAAAATTATAAGCCAATCATACGCTGACACGTGGCTAGGTAACCTGCTACATCAGGTTACACTACTACAAAATGATTCTTTTCTCGACGCTTAAGCCTCGACGCTTCGGTATGAGCATTAGGTGGTAAATCGATATGCGTATTTTTTCAACGCCTAAAAGCGCTGAGATTGATTTTCGACATAAATAAGCGTCGAGAACAACACGTGCAAGGCTCGTGAGTGCATTTTGTTTAACCCACGGTTTCTTAATTTCAGAAATAATAAAACCGCCCATAGTTTCTAAACTTGAAAACCTTTCACTTCTCACATCTTAACCCTAACTATTCATCTCTCCTTCATCTTACTAAATTCTGTGAAGTGATTCAGAAAATCATGGATTTCAATGTCAGATCTTCAATTCGTTCCCCGTGAATTGCTCATAAATAATTTTGCTTGCTTAAATTTCTCTACTCACCGGCCTTCAAGGATGTTTTAGTTTCGTCTTCTCGTTGCCGATTTAATTGAGGTACAATTTTTCCTTTTGGGCATCAATTTTTCTTTGAATTGAGTCCTATAGATTGTTTGTAGAGTTTATTTAACAATAATTTCATGAAGTTATGATCTGAAATGTATTTGATTCATGAGAAACAGATATTTTAGGGTTTCATTATATATATTATTATGTTCGATTTTGTGCTACAGTTCAAATAAAATTCTAGAAAACTAGCCTTCTTTTCTTCTATGTTTGAAGGAAGCACCATTTTGAGTTGGCTATTGACCTGCTATTAGGAACACTCTGTTTTTTTTTTTTTATTATTATTTTTTTATCGTGTTAAATTTTTTTGAGGTTTTGTTTTCCTAGTTATTTCTATGATATTGAGGAGTGGATAGCTGGGGTCCATCTTTTGACGCTCTGAACTATTAATTATACTATGGTGTAATTTGACTTTTATCATTCCTATACCCTTTAGTACCTTCTTGTACATTTGAATACTCTATGTGATGATTCATTTATCAGGTTATGTTGTTGACATTATTGCAGTTCCTCTGTAGGAATTTCTATGTAGAAATTTGATTGATTTATCAGGTCATGCTCTTGACAGCTCCTCTCACGCCTCTTAGAATTATATATAAGCATACTAAACACTCTGTACAATTTGTCTATATTTTTTAATTGATTTACTTGCTTTATTGAATAAGTTCTTTCTTCCCTTTGGCAAGATGACTTGACTACAATGCTGGTACAACAATGTTGTTGGTCCCAGTTTAATATTCAGAGAATCATTGAGATTACTAGTGAGAATGAGGCAAATAAGCTGATCGTGCCAAATTAGCTAAAAGAGAGGCGATTCCATGCTTTGAAAGATACATGGGGAGTCCCTAAATTCTTGTCATAAACAACCAAGTCAAGATATCTACTATGTCGATTGTTGAAGGAAAAATTCACAGAAGTTATACCTGGAGTATTGAGAAATTCTCGACTTTGAATGATGAATTGTTTTCTCCTGTATTTCGCTTTGATGGATGGTCATGGTATGTATTTAAGTCTTACTTTAAATAAAAAGTGGAAAATTTCACTCAATTGTGACTAAAAATGCTTATTACTTTCTCTGATTTGTAATATTTCAGGAAATTAAACTTATTTCCTAGAGGAGAGGCTGAAGATGGTAAATGCCTCTCACTATTTCTGCATGTAGACAATAGTTCCGGGCTAACTGATGATAACAAACTGTATGTTGAATTTATTCTTTACTTGAAGAATCAACGCCAAGGAAAAGACGACCATCACAGTAAGATAACTTGTAAGTTTTAACACGTGACATCTTATTTCTTGTTTTAAAAAATTAGCTAGTGTCCTCTGGAATTTATAATTTTTTTTCATTTATTTAATTTTTTTTGCACAGCGTACCTGGTTTTATGCAAGCTCAAACAATTGGGGCTACCCATACTTTCATGCTTGATAAAGTTCATTATAATAAGGTATATAGGCCTACTTTTTGTGCATTAATAAATTTTGAAAAAAGAAGGCTTGATCCAGATATCTGGTGAAATCTTTTAGCATTTTGTCGTGTGAACAATATAGGACCAAATGTGCAATTTATCTTGCACAATGACACTAAAAATATCTCTAGAAATGGGCATTAAATTGTTTTGTCTTTTACTATGCCATATGTAGCAAGATACTGACTTATAAGATGAGTAGTTTGATTATGTTCATCTGGTTTGATTCTAGTTGTTTGCATATTTCTTCCATTTTCCGTTAGATTGAGTTGAGTTGGATTGGGCCTACACATAACCTATGTCTTCTTTCCCCATTAAATAGAAGAAAAGTAGAGATGAGTAGTTGGGAGAAATATACTAGAGTTGCACCATTGTTTGTTGAAGCCTTCTTCAATTCTTTGTAGTATATTTTCACATATCTTGTGCATTGAAAACATAAAAGACATACCAGTCCCTAATGCATAAATAAGCAATAATTTCTTCTTGGAAATCCAAGCTAAGTAACAACTTCACTATCTTTTCTTGTGGAAAGTGATTAGCTATATATATATGTATCATGCATGTCTATTTTGATCTCAATAGTCTGTAACCAACGCCTTCTTGATTTTGGCTTGTATATTTTCCTTTCTGCATCTCTTTGGTATGTTCTTACAAGTTTCCAAATACAGATATGGGCAGAACGACTTCTAAGCATGTATGTCAATTGGGCTGAAAAGCAAGGTTACAAAGGTAGAGTATTGGAGAAGTGTTCCTCGAACATTGGGGGCATTAAGTCTGCCACTATTGAGTTTGAATTTAAGTATGCTTATGGATTTTTGATTGGCGAAAGAGGTGTTCACCACATGATGAGTTCACTTAAAAAACAAGTTGCCATGAGGTACACTTTGCTTAACTAGTGCTGATTTCTAAAAGTGCATTTATTATCACCAGATGATCTAATTTCTACATAAACCTGATATACTACTTCCATTTGGATTCAGTAATAACATTGCAAATTCAATATTTGGTATAGTAACAATTATTTCAGGACAGAGGTTGAGAGTTATATTGAAAGCCTATAGCTAGTAACTATTATAGGATAAACCATAAGGTCATTTACATCGTATCATTATCAGGCCAATGATAGTCAAAAGGTCTTAAAGCTTGAATCTGTGGCCTCTTTATTCTAATAGTCAAATGGTTAAGTTTAATGTCACACTATGATTTCAGTTGCAATCACCAGCATAATGTCTTTGATTCTCTCTCTGAATTGTCTATACTGAACCAAGTGGTGAAATAATTTGAAACAGTATCTTTGTGAAAATGATGGCAGATTTACCTGATTTAGTAAGCTGATTGATTGATATTTTTAGTTAGTATGATTCTATCTTGTTGTTCTCATCTCAGCTATAATTTTATACTTGGAACATGATCTTGTGATTTCCAATTCATGTATATTTGCTGGATTGACTTGACCACTATGCTTCACTCATCTACTTGATTTGTCTTATGTATTCAGATTGAAGATGCAAAACTTATAAAGGAGTTGGCAGAAACAGATGCTGTAAATTATGGACTGATAAAGCAAGCGTATAATGCATCAGTTGATATAAGCACGTTTTTAGATCAATATGAGATGTCCAGGCTTTTGAAAGGGCCATATGTGAAAGGTGTTTAATGGTTTCTCTCAAGTTTTACTCTTATATTATGTCTACTATTTGTTGTAGGGAAATTGTGATCGACATTATGCATATCCTAGCTCGAGTCTTGAGATTTGTGAAGGGTGAATCTGTGATCTACACAACTTTTGATTGCTCTACAATGAAGGAGATTGGGCAGCCAATCCTTTTTTTGCTCAAATTTAACAGGCCCCGGCTTCCAGTTTTATTGAGAGGCTGTTATGGCTCTCAAAAAATGTTTCAAGGTCTGAACTAGTTACGATTGCCACGCTAGCTTGGGCCTCTCTTGGCACTGCAGGAATATGTCCACCTTTGAGAAGAATTCATTTAATGATGTTGAGGTTGCCAGGGGGGTTGTGAATATGGTGCGTGAAAGTAATGAGTATACTGGAAGGGTTGCTAGCTGACCCACCCAAATCTGCCCACCAGTCAGTTCGTGGAGTTATGTTGCCCAACTCAGAGAAGGGTCAAGGTAAATTGTGATGCCCTTTAGGTGTTTAAACCGGCTTGGGGGCTGTGATCAGAAATGATCAAGGGACTATTGTTGCTGCTGCAGTGAGGCAGGAGGGTGCAGGGTGGGATGTAGGGTGTGCGAAAGTTGTTGCCTGTCAATATGGTCTGCTTGTGGCGAAGAGGTTGGGATACTCTGATGTTCAGCTTGAAAGTGATGCCTTGAATGTGGTGAATGCTGTCCGAAACAATGCCAAAGGATTTTCCCTTGTGTTTCTCCTATATGATAATATTTGTAGGCTTTTTTCAGTTTTAGTTCGTTTTTAATTTCTCATGTAAAGCAATCGGGTAGTACTTTAGCTCATAATGTCGCTAGATGGGAGACCGTTGTGACGAATTTGTATCTTCGGGTCCTTTTCCTCAAAGTTTATTGACTTTGGCGGAAATTGTTCTTCTTTAATATATTTTTCCCGTTGCTTGACTTCAAAAAAAAAATATGTGACATTTTTTTTTAATTAATTGTATTGATGTTTTCTTTAATAAATTTAGTAATTAACTACGTACTACTTTTATTATATATTGTTGATTATTGTTTTTTTAATCTAGTTATATAGAATATTTGTTTACTTTAATTTTAATGTTATTAATTTAATTTATGATAAATTAAATAACTATAATGTATGTATGATGGTAATAATTTAATAAAAGGAAAAAATAAAAAACTTTAAAAATAAATTCTAGACGCTTTTTAATGTCTATATATTTTGCACATTTTCATATTTCAAGAGTTTCCCGCCATACCATAGCCTGACACGAATAAACACAAGACAACAAAAAGCGTCGCTAAATTTGAGTATGTGGACATGTAAAAGCGTCTCAAAAAACTACGCAAATTTGGGATAATGCGCGAAATAAGTACTTTCCGACACTTTGTACATTAGTTTGGACACATAAAAGCGTCGATATTCTCGACGCTTTTATGTGTCCCTCAAAATTCTCAACTCACGTATTCTCAACGCTTTTTAGCAGCGTCGAGAAATATTTTTTCGACGCTTTTTAGCGTCTAAAAAAGGCCTAAAAAGCGTCTAGAAAACACGCTTTTTGTAGTAGTGTTGATAAGCTTAGATCTAAGGAACTTGTGGAAGGTCTTCCTTGCATCAAGTTCCTATATGACAAAGTGTGTGATGCTTATGTTAGAGGAAAACAGACTCGAAGTTCCTTCAAATCCAAGAAAATGGTAAGCACCAAAAGACCTTTGGAACCTGTCCATATGGATCTATGTGGTCCTATGAGAATCCAAAGTAGAAGTGGTAAGAGATATGTAATGGTAATTGTTGATGATTTTTCAAGATTTACTTGGGTTTTCTTTCTTGTCAGCAAAGATAAAACATTTGATGAATTTGTAGCCTTTGTAAAGAGAGAACAAAGAAGAACAAGTAATCCAGTTATTCATCTTAGATTAGATCATGGCACAGAATTTGAAAATTCTAAATTTGATGAATTCTGTACTGAGCGTGGTATGGATCACAACTTCTCTGCTCCTAGAACTCCACAACAAAATGGAGTGGTGGAACGCAAGAATAGAAGAATTGAAGACATGGCTAGAACATTGCTAATCTCAAGTGGTTTGCCAAGAAATTTCTGGGCAGAAGCAGTAAATACAGCATGCTATATTCTCAACAAAGTATCTGTTACAGCCATCTCCAACAAAACTCCCTATGAGCTAATCAAAGGGAGAAAACCTAACATTTCTCACCTTAGATCTTTTGGTTGTAAATGCTTTGTTCATAATAATGGTAAAAGAAACTTAGGAAAGTTTGATGAAAGAAGTGATGAAGCTGTTTTCTTAGGATATGCCTCAAATAGTAAAGCTTATAGGGTTTATAATAAGAGAACAATGTGTGTTGAGAAATCTGTACATATTATATTCGATGAAACTGAACAATTAATTGATGTACAGGAAAGTGATGATGACTTTAGAATAGGACTTGTTCGCAAGATGGATAAAGATGAAGAGTTAACATCATTACAAAAGCAGCTGGAAGAAAATGAGGCAAATACAGAAGCAAATGAAGATCCTACATTAGAAAATGCAACAGAAACTTCTCAAGTTCCAGAACAGAACGAAGCTGATCAAGAAGTTCCAAAAGAAGTTCAAACTGAAAATCAAGATGAAGTTCAAACAGTAGAACCAGTCACCAACAATGAAGAAAGATTGTATCCAATTAAAGACTTTACTCCAAAGACTTGGAAACATCAGAAATCTCATCCAGTTGATGCAATCTTGAGTGATATCATAAAAGGAACTCAAACCAGATCTCAGCTTAGGAACTTCTGTGCATTTTATGCGTTCCTATCTTCAATGGAACCTAAGAACCATGTTGAAGCTTTGACTGATGTTGAATGGATTAATGCTATGCAAGCCGAACTTAACGAGTTTGAAAGAAACAAAGTATGGCATCTAGAACCTAGACTTAAGCAAAAGAATACAATTGGATTAAAATGGGTGTTTAGGAACAAGATAGATGAGCATGGTATTATTGTCAGGAACAAAGGTAGGCTTATAGTACAAGGTTTCAATCAACAAGAAGGTATTGACTATGAAGAAACATTTGCTCCTGTAGCCAGGTTAGAAGCTATACGCTTACTCATTGCATTTGCTGCTTATATGGGATTTAAACTGTAGCAAATGGTTGTTAAATGTGCATTTTTGAATGGATATCTTGATGAAGAAGTCTATATGGAACAGCCTCCTGGATTTGAAAATCCAGAATTCCCAAACCATGTCTACAAGCTTGACAAAGCTCTTTATGGGATGAAGCAAGCTCCTAGAGCATGGTATGAAAGACTGTCAAAGTTCCTATTGAAAAATGGTTTTAAACGTGGAAAAATTGATAAAACATTGTTTTAAAAATCAAATGGAACTGACATAATAGTTGTACAAATTTATGTTGATGATATTTTATTCGGTGCAACTAATAAATCTCTATGTAAGTATTTTGCTGACCTAATGAATGGAGAATTCGAAATGAGTATTATGGGAGGGTTAAACTTCTTTCTCGGATTGCAAATCAAGCAAACTAAAGAAGGAATCATGATCCATCAACAAAAATATATCAAGGGACTGATTAAGAAATACAAGATGGAAAATGTAAAAACCAATAAGACTCCTATGGGTATTGGAACTAGGTTGGATGAAGATCCAACTAGAACTTTCATAGACCAAACTATGTATAGAGGTATGATTGGCTCTTTACTTTATTTAACGGCAAGTAGACCTGACATATCTTTTAGTGTAGGTCTATGTGCAAGGTTTCAAGAAAATCCAAAGGAATCTCACCTCGTAGCAGTAAAGAGAATTCTTCGTTACTTAAAAGGAACTAATGACTTGAGTCTCTTCTATCCTAGAAGTGATTCATTTGAATTAAATAGCTTTACTAATGCTGACTATGCAGGTGACTTGGTTAACTGAAAAAGTATTTTAGGTATGGTTCAGTTCTTAGGACCTTGTCTGGTTTCTTGGGGTTCCAAGAAGCAAAATAGTGTTGCATTATCCACAACTGAAGTTGAGTATGTGGCAGCAGCAGCATGTTGCTCACAAGTTCTATGGATAAAACAACATGTTAGAGATTTTGGTATTATTTTTGAATGTGTCCCTATTTACTGTGACAATACCAGTGCTATTTGTATTTCTAAAGATCCAGTTCAACACTCAAAGGTAAAGCATATCCACATTAGGCATCACTTTATAAAAGACAATGTGGAACAAGGGAATCTTAAGTTAGAATTTTGTCAAACAGAAAGTCAAATTGCTGATATTCTAACCAAACCCTTGAACAGAGAAAGATTTGAGAAATTGAGATTGGAACTTGAGATGATCAAGCTAACTTGATTACTTCTGAAGTTCCAAGATATGGCTGATTCAAATATAGTGTAAATAAAGTTTAAAGAGCTTTTGGCGCAACTTTGGTGTGACAAACATAGCTGAAGTGTCACCGTTGTTAATTACTAAAGGTAAGTTCACTAAAACACTTATTTATGTAAGCAATTAATAATATACTGTGCATATGTGTTTAAACCGTGTTCCAATATGTGTATATTTAGAAAGAAATTATGATTTGTAAAATTAAATAAATTTGGAAAGAAAGTGAATTTTGAAAATACATCCTGCCAAATGATTTTACAAATTAATTTAATGTGTTTCAATTAATGACTGAACAGTAAAACCATTCAATTTCCTTGCACCGCTTCAATAAATAAAAAAAGCATCTTTCACCCACCTTTTCACTCCACTATCAAATCACATTCACCCTCTTCAGTAAAAATCTCAAGAACATAATCATAATCAAACATCATGGTTATCATTGCAGAAATCGTTTCTTCTGAAAATTCCCAAAACACCGAACACACCATTCAAGAAGAAACTTCACCTTTAGCAATGGTGAATTATAAACCTTCTCCAAAATAAATCAAAAGTACCTCTGATTCTCCCAAACCCTCTGAAAACCCGAAACCTTTACCCTCAAACCCTAAGGAAGTTGAGAGCAAGAATGTTGAAGAAGAGTGCAGTACTTCAAGTGTACTCGATAAATTGCGTCAATGGAAATAGAAGAGGGAGAAAGAAAAGTCACTTGAAAAGGAAATTAAAGAAGTTGATGTGTTCGAAAAGGGGGAAAATCAAGGCGAAGAGGAAAATCTGGAAGAAGAAGAGAAACAGGGAGAAAGTGAAGTGGATGCCTCTGCAGAGGAAGAGGAAGAAGAGGTTGATGAAGATGATGACCAAGTGGAACTTCTTGCAAGAGCGGGAAGGTATAATACTAGTTAAAGACTTGATAGTACATGGTGAAAGAAGGCTAGGTTTTTAGAATTCTTCGATTTAATCAAATTTCAAGGGTGGGAGTATATGTTATCTACTGCTTCTAATAATGTGCTATATCCTGTGGCTATGGATTAATTTTGTGCAAAATTTCAAGTTAAACAAGGGAAGATTTCTATCTTAGTGAATAAAAAGAAAATTGAGTTTTATGTTAAAAAATTAGGTAAAATTTTGAAAGTACCTACTGCTGGATTTGAACTGTATGTGAAGGGGAAGAATACTTTGAAGGTAGGAAATTATCTCAGTGGAGATATAGTTGAATTTTTGGGAGGAAAAAGGGGGAAAAATGTTATGAGCCATAATGATCTTAGCCCTCTTAATAAGCTGTTGTTCAATTTGGTGAGAAAAACCATATTTCCAAAAACTTAGAAGAGAAGCCAAGCATGCTTGATGGACTTGGCTGTCATCTTCTGTCTCACCAAGAAAATCAAAATCAACTTCCCAACCCTAATGTATCAACACCTTGCATAGTGTATTCCACAAAAGAACAAAGTGGGATATAGGGCATTGTTGTCTACTGTGTTTGAGTTTTTAGGTGTGAAGCTCAAAGGAGTTTATGAGGGATTGGAGGAAAACTAGAGGATGTGATTAATGGGGAAACACTTCAAGGTATAAATCTTGAAGTAGTAAATGGAAAGGTTAGAAAAAGTGAAGTAAAGAAAACAGTGGGAGGAAAAAGAAAAAGGAAGG